TAAACTCAAACCGACAATGTTTTCAAAAGCAATCCAGAAAAAAGCCCTCGTGGTAGCCTGATTTTTACCACATTTTCAGATCTAACCACATTCTAACCCTGTTATTTACTTGTTTATTTTAATTTTTGGCTTCTGTTTTGGTCTTATTTGCTTTATGGAACTGTTCTTCGCCAGACTCAAACCTGTCGTCATGGTCAACTCTGTGTCTCAAATCCTCCGATGTACACGGCAAGCCACGGAACAAACTGGTAACAGCGGAAATTCCTTCCATACGGAGGTAAGGGGAAAAAAACAGCATCATACCGCCCCATAGCGTTTGTTTTAAAATCGAAATGCAGCCAAACATAGCTCTGGCTACGTAATTCACGATCTCCAGAAATGTATATAGGGCTACATTTTCAGAATGAGAATGTTGCTCGTTCGTCACACCCATTGCACGTCTTTCAGTCTCTGCTAATGAGCTAATGATCTGCATCAGGTGTGCATTAAGGAGACATGGAAAATGTGCAGAGCTGGTGGTCCTCCAGGAACATGGTTGAGAAACACAACTCTATGCTACTCAATCAAGCAATTTTTTTAGAAAAGATGTAAAAAATGAGATAAGTGACATGATGGGTTGTCGTTTGTAAGGTATAGTATGGCATTATTCATATATGGTTTTATTATGCTGTCAACACTCGTTTGTTTTTCTCGAGATTGCATTTCTTTTGTGCGCAAACGATAAACATGTTAAGTTCGCTCTGTTCTCATACATAAAAAACACATGAGGAAAAAGAACTAAAGAAAAAAATAAACGAAGCACAATGTGATTTGATTGAGAAAAAATAGGTTTATTTTGATGATTATGTAAATGATGTACTGAATATAAATATTTAAAAATTAGCTGTAATTCAAGTCTGTCTGTTTAAACACGCAAATTATTATTATTAAATATACAAACATATAAATATATATATAAATATATATATAAGAAAAATATTTACATGTTCAAATGTTGAACCAGTATCAACATAATGTCTTAGATTCCATTTGACGTATGTATATACCGTTTATCTGTTTGTTAAGGGATTTAATTTTTTTATCAAATAAGCAAATATATGAAAAAATGACTGAACAAGTCCACTGATTTGCAGCACACACAGACGCCCTCCTACACGTTTTCTGTTGTGTTCTTGTAAAGAAACAGAGTTTGTGTGTGGGTGTGTAAGTATGGAAGTATGTGTGCTTGCATGTGAATTGTTGAGTGTACTCGGAATATTTGTATTTATTTATATAACTGTTTATGAGAGTTTGATTTTATAGTATTTTTTACTTTGAGTATCTGTAGAAACAGATGTAGTGCCACATGCAGGGTGAATTTTTGCTGTATCATTGTTGACCTGATGTTCAGTTCTTTGGTGACTTGGTAGCAGTAACTGAATATAGCATCAAAAAAGAAGCGAATTAACGAAAGTCGAAACCCAATGAGGTAACGTTTGATGGGAAGCAAAGCAAAAAACAAAAACAAAACAAGGATATATCCCATTAGGACAAGCACTAAACAGTGCGGCTTGTCCAATTCTGCTACATTTTAGCAAGCACAATTAACGCTAGCTCCATGGAGTATCGTGGACAACTGGTTAAATAACCAGATATTGAAGCAAAAAAAAAAAAAAGAGTAAAAAAAACAAACCTCCACCTGGCTGGAAGCTGTATATCAGCCCAGTTGCTTCTAAACCCAGCCAGCGCTTACACAACTAATTTTTGGTGTCATTCAACCTTCTTTACTGCCATTTTGTAGGATAGCAGCCATATTATGTACTCAGAGTAGACACACCAACCATTTACAGATTTAAAAATACTTCAACCAAAGTGGTTACACAACACAAGCTATTGATTTCAGGCACAAGCGTAACTTTCAAGAGCTTAAACTCTTTCTGACAGCCTTAAAGTTTCGATTTCAATTGGAGAAATTGGCCATGTGTCAAATAAAATGAACAGTTATAGAAACTGCCATCTCTGCCGTGACTTCTGGTCACCTGTAGTGTCACAGATGCTGTAGTGACAATCTTTACATGTGCCATCATGTGTGACCGTGCGCATCTTTAATTGCCAAATGTTTTCTACTACTTCCTTGGTTTGTCCTGGCAGAGCTCACATCACGGCGCAGACAAAAACATGCTTTTTAACACCAACAATCGAGGGTGTGGCAATCCATGCAAGCGAATAGGGAAAAATAATATATTTAAAGGAACACTCCACTTTTATGTGGAAATAGGTTCATTTTACTGTAATTTTAAGAGTTAAAAAGCTCAGTTTTCAATCCATGCTGTGATCTCTGGGTCTGCCAGAAGGATATGTTTAGCTTAGCTTAGCATAGAGCATTGAATCAGATTATACCATTAGCATCTCGCTGAAAAAATTCAAAAAAGTAATTTTGACGTAATCAATGAACTTGGGTGGCACAATGAGTAACGCTGTCGCCTGACAGCAAGAAGGTCGCTGGTTCGAGCCCCGGTTGTTCTTCCCGTGTTTGCATGGGTTTCCTCCGAGTGCTCCAGTGTACCTCTACAAGATATGTGCAATAGGTAAATTGGGTAAGTTAAATTGTCCGTAGTGTATGTGAGTATGTCCTGGTCCTCCAGGTTGGGGATTGAGCGTTGGGCTAACGACCCAGCAATGAGATGTTACGAAGCACCAATATAGTGCAGCTAAATATCAACTTCGATATAACCGGTTCTGGGAGTAAGCTATCAATGAACTTTGCTGCCGTACCATGGCTGCAGTGGGTGCAATGGTATTATGCAGAGCCTGAAAATAGTCCCCAGCTTGGTTGTGTCTGCTGTAGTCATGGTACAGCAACAAAGTTCCTTGATTATAACACCGAATGTTCCTAGTCACATTAACCTAAAACAGCAACTGTTCATTTTCTGTTGCTCTTAGTACACAATGTAACTACCGAAGAGTCGAGCTTTACATAGGAAGATTATCTAACTATTTTCTAAACTGTTTTGAGAGAGATGTTAATGGTCTAATCTGATTCAATGATTTATGCTCTCTGACCTCTATAGGTGCTCTAGCGACAGACGCTAGAGGCTATGGTCTTTAGCCTTCTTGTTAGAGCAACTGACTCCCATGTGGAGAGTCGCTGATCCGATCCCAGCTTGGAGTGGGTTGGGTGGTGCAGTACCGGTGGGGTTACATTGGTACCGTGACCTGGATGAGAGTGAGGTTTAGTGGGGTAAGTGAAACAGAGGCCAGCTAGAGAAGTACTATGCAGGTAAACCTCACACCCCTGATAAAAGGTGCTCTAGCAACAGACTCTAGAGGCCATGGTCTTTAGCCTCCTTGTAAGAGCAACTGACTCCAAAGCGGAGAGTCGCTGGTTCAATCCCAGCTCGGGACAGGTTGGGTGGTGTTGGGCAGGATTACATCGGTGCCGTGACCCGGATGGAAATGGGGTTTAGGGTGGTGAGTGTAACAGAAGCCAGCTAGTGAAGTGCTATGTAGGTAAACCTCACTCTTCTGATCTCTAAAAGGTGCTCTAGCGACAGACACTAGAGTCGCTGGTTTAATCCCAGCTTGGAGTGGGTTGGGTGGTGTGGGATTGGTAGGGTCAAATATGCTAAGCTAAAAGTATTTCTGCCAGACCTGGAGATTGGCTGAATAGATGAGAAAATGGTCAAACTCAACTGTTTAACCTAAGGGGACTTCCTAAAAACAATGTGGAGTGTTCCGTTAGGCTTCTAGACGTCTCAACCGGGTGATTTACTCAGATGGAACATGCTTGATGCAAACGATCAAAGCATGAACGCTGGTTACAATTCGAGAACGCTTAAAAAAAGGATGACTAGGTTTGTCAGTGAACTAGATAATTGTTTGTACGCACAAGCAATCATCCGTTAATGTCAAACTACTTTGATGTCACTGTCAAAATGGCCCATTTCCAAACAGTCCTGCAGTTTGTAACCCTTCATATGGTCACATCTCCACTGTGTAGCTGTTGTTCCCTTCATTGAATTACGTCATACTTGCTGTTGTATGCTGTGAATTACAGTATCTAATCTCAGTGAAGCTATGATTATCTCTGTGTACAAGCAGTCCTGGATTTGGTGCACGTTATCACTTAAGATTGTGTACTGGTTGTAAGACTTTTGGGTTTTGTTACAGGGTCTTTTGTATTTCTAAACGTGCTCACTTAGCAACAATCAATCTCGTGTGCAAAAAGAAATCGAAGCAATAAGTGGTAAACATGTTCGCTTTGCCCCATCCCCCGACCCCCCCCAAACAACTGGGCAAAAAAGCACACTAAAAAGTCCGCTGGCCATATTTGACGAAACAGCAGCTGAAAGAAAACAGGCCAACATCCGTGTACACTACAAATATACCATAGGTCTTCTGATGCTTTTGTCAGTTTCAATGTATTGCCATAATTTAAATGTGACAGAGAGTTTATCACCTTATCATTGTACTGTGCTGTAGAGATTGTAGATGTTTGTATGTAAATGAATAAATATGTGGAATAATAAAACAAACAAACAAAAAAGATAAAAATGTTGAACATGAGAAATAGAGTACTACTGTATGTTGTTCATTTTGTGATTTGTTTTTTTGTACATGAGAATGGAAATGTTGACATTATCGCTGAATATAGAGACTATTCCATCCTTACCGAAATGGTTCTGTATTACATTTTGTGAGAGATTTACTTTTTGTTTTTTGACTCGTACTCGGGGCTTGAACTGCGCTTGTGCAGTTGAAACTGTCCCTCAATGGATTTAAAACATACATACAAATAATAAACAAATGGTATATTGCTTGAATAGATTTTTGAGTTCTTGACGCACCTCTCAGATCCATTTATAATACATGTTGTGCGCAATTTTCTTTTGTGAAACATTTTTTTTTCCAAGGTCCAAGGCATACCCAATGTTGCTGGTTCAAAAAGTGAGGGAAAAGCAGCATAAAAGTATGTTTATGAAATGACCAGCTAGGGCGATAAATTATATTATATTGAATCGTGATCAAATGTATTTCAATAACAATGATAAACTCTGGACTCTTTTACTCGATATTGATCTAACTCGCACAGCAGAAATGTACAACAATGGGATATCAATGTGTTGATATTAGAGATGCACTGAAGGTTATGCTATTTAATGGACTTTCTATTTTTTGTGGCTTAAGCCATTGATGGGAAACTCATTTAAATCTGGAAGCATTAACAACTGATATCGAAATATATATTGTTATTGTTCAATATGGGAAAGAATTAATCAAGATTGCTTTTTTGCCATTTCGCCCAGCCCAATGTCACGAGGAAACATAACTGTTTTATGAATTGTCAGAAAAGTGGAAAATGTATACGCTTACATTTGTACAAAAAGCGGATGATTTTTAAAAGGATGCGTTTCCCTAAACCCCACCCCAAAACACAACACAACCAGCATTGATGGATGAGCAAATCAAACTAAAATGTTTGAAGCAAGTTTTCTGAAACCATTCATTCATTTTTTTTCGGCATAGTCCCTTTACTAATCAGGGGTTGCCACAGCAGAATGAGCCGCCAACCTATCCAGCGTATGTTTTACGCAGCGGATGTCCTTCCCGTCGCAACCCAACACTTTGAAACCCCTGTACACTCTTGCATTCACACATATACACTATGGCTAATTAAGTTTATTCAATTAACCTACAGTACAGCACATGTCTTTGGACTGTGGGGGAAACCGGAGCACCCTAAGGAAATCCACATGAACACGGGGAGAACATGCAAACTTCACACACCAACTGACCCAACCAGGGCTCGAACCAGTGACCTTCTTGCTGTGAGGTGATCGTACCACCCACTGAGCCACCGTGACACCTTTTCTGAAACCATACAATGGTTTTGTGTTAACTTCCAAATGCAATCGAAATTAGCATTTCTTACACGGTAACTTAAAATGTTTTAAATTGCAGTTTGTTACTGTATAACAGATTCCAACAAACATGAAAACATTCCTCTTACATTTCCATATGGGTCTTATTTGGTTCATTTTGTGAAAACCAGATAAGAAACAAATTAATAGGTAAAAAAATATATATTAACAATTTAATAAGAGCCGAAAAGAGAGTTCTGGGAACGTTCTCCTAACCTAGAGGGAACATTCTAATTCTGTAAACAACACTTTTCTGGTTAGAGAACAGAGAATGTTCTGGGAACCTAACACTGTTAGTTGAGATTCTATTTACTTATTTAGTATAAATGTAGCATTTAACAAAAGAACAATTACTAATTATTATAGTCATTTTGTCCTATCTTTCAACACAGAACCAAACTGAAAGCTATAGGAGAATTACCAATCTACATCACACATGAGGTCACACGGGTTCAACTGCGCATACCGGTTGCAAAAAAAAAAGGCTGTCAAAGATATTCTAATAGAAATATATTAGATAGAAATAGTTAAAAAGTCAAAAATAGAAAACTTAAATTTTAGCGTATACCTCACTGCTTTTAATGCCATCCGCAGATGTCTTTGGCCATCAGCCATCATAAGAGCTGAATGGAGTGAGGACCTAATTAAAAATGCTGGACTCTGCTGTTTTAATTTTATATCAGGTAAGTTCACGCTATGCTGAATTATACACATTACTCGTTTTTGATTGCAGCAATGATTTCAGCAAAAACAATTAAATATTGTTCATTAAACTTCAGACACTGAATGCTTAGAATGAAATGTAAAAATGTACATTCAGATACTCTGCCGTAAAGGTGCAGTTCGCTGTCAGAATGCAGTTGATGATAAATTACCCTGGCCTTGTATAGCTTCAACTTCTTTCCTTGTCTTTGGCAAGGCAGAACCTCGGTTTTTTTGCACGAGAAAGTTTTAAATCTGCAACCTCAGGTAATTCGCCATTGGTTATCCTCAAGAAATTAAAATGAATATTGTGACCATTTATTTGCCGCCAGATCAAAATAAATGCTCTGAATGTTTTGATTGAATTTTAGGGTGATGCAAAAGTCACAATCATGTCTTAAATATATCGTTTTAGAAATTAAAGACATAAAACAGTAAAGTAATGTTTAATTCTAGTTTGTAATTATTTTAGCAAGTTCTATCTTTTAAAATTCACATTCAATCTAAACGTCTATACTAAACGTGTTGAAAACGTAAATGTCTTGTCTTAGGTTTAACTTAGGCTAGAAAGCCTACATTCTGTTAAATTACATGAATTATACACCATGAATATGCAACATAAAACGACTAAAGGAAAAATGTCGAGTGGTTTACAGTACTGGATGTTTTCTATCTTAAATAATTTATTCAATTTTTGTATTTTTTGTTTCTTGCAATCAACAAACGTTTATTATTATTATTTATTTTGTCCTTTGTTTGGTTATTTTCGTAATCAGATATGTAAGCTGTTTGCATTATTCAAAGGTTAACGCAGTGCCTACACTTTGCGTTTACACTATAGCCTGCGTTTGCTGTTATGTAAATTCAAATGGTTGTAATACCATGTATCAAGTATCAATGTAATACCAAAAGGTTTTATATCAATTTATTAAAAGACTAAGTCTCCGGCAGGCGAGAATCTAGCCGGAATTGGCCTGAGTGTATTGCTATCTGGGTGTTGTTACAGTATAGGCTAAATCAGGGGTCACCAATCCTGGTACGGGTGGGCCGGTGTCCCTGCAGGGTTTAGCTCCATCTTGCCTCAAAACACCTGCCTGAATGTTTCAAGCATACCTTGTAAGACCTTGATTAGCTTGTTCAGGTGTGTTTGATTAGGGTTGGAGCTAAAATCTGTAGGACACTGGCCCTCCAGGAGCAAGTTTGGTGACCACTGGGCTAAATGTTTACTACAAATTACTTCAAGCTTACCTCAATGAATCATCTTGGCGGTAAACTTCGCGCTTTTCTGATTAAACATAAACCGCCTGCTTTAATTTGATTGGACCTTTGATTTGAGATTTGTTTTGGAAAACTGAACAGATAAGCTTAAAATTGTTTTAAAAATGTTTAAGCCTTTAAAATCACTAACAACATGTTTCAGTCAATACTGTTGTGTTTACTGTCTCTGGAGTTTCCAATAGATATATGATTTATGTAATAATTAATTAAATCCATTTAGTATAACCAAAGCCCCCTTTAATAGACAGACTTTGCAGTATATCCCAATAACAGAACAGCTCGCGCATCTGACGTAACTCCCTGTACAGGCGTTAGAGGGCAGTAAAGTCATTTCAGCTGCTTGCAATCCAAACTGTGAAGGAGGATCTGCCTGAATCGCTTCCTGTGTGTGATACAATAACAACACGCTGAAGAGCAAAGGTGAGTAAAATTATTTTGCCAGTCTGTAATTTGTCATTGTGTCGATTTTAACATATTTTAGCACCTGTTTATATATATTTTTAGACTGGTTGTCATGTTAAGCTGCATTCATTTTATGACATGTCTTACGCTGTTCTTGTAGATATGTACTTGCACCGGTAACGTTAACTTATTTGTTTTTGTTTTAAGATTTCTAACTGATGGCGGCCAATATGTTTCAACCCTATTTAAGCAAGCGTTTGCGGTCTTTCTCTGTTTTGCTGAAGATATAGAGTGTTCAAAGTGTTTCGGTTCACTTCAATAACGTTTCATAAGTCAGATAAACAAAATATGAGTTCTGTTATAGGCTCAGGTATCTTTAATAATACAGTAAAACAAATAATGTTTTAATGAGCATATTGCTGACTTTTAAATCTCGATTTTTCTATCAAAATTCGCAATTTCTAAAGAAAATTTCGAAGTTTTGTAATTGTTTTTATATCACGTTAAGGACATGGTGTTTTGAAGGGAAAATAATAAACAAACAATATATTAACTAAACCTAAATCTGGATATTCATTTTATTTCCCGCTTAGTCCCTTTTATTAACCTGTGGTCTACACAGCGGAATAAACCGCCAACTTATCCAGCTTATGTTTTACGCGGAGGATGCCCTTCCAGCTCAACCCATCTCTGGAAAACATCCATACACTCTCATTCACACTCATACACTATACTACGGATAATTTAGCTCACCCAATTCACCTGTACCGCATGTGTTTGGACTGTTGGGGGAAACCGGAGCACCCGGAGGAAACCCATACGAACGTTGGGAGAACATGCAATCTCCACACAGACACGCCAGCGACTTCCTTGCTGTGAGGCGACAGCACTACCTACTGTGCCACCATGTCGCCCAAAGATGAATATTATTATACCAAATTATCCGAGTTTCTTTCTTCATTTGAACATGAAAAAAGATACACTGATGAATCCTGGAAAAAACAACAACCATTGACTTAGTGTTTTTTGGTTTGTTTGTTTCTTCTATGGTTTCAATTACTTATTTTCCCCCAACATTCTACAGAATATCTTCTTTTGTTTTCGAACTTATTAAGTGTAAGTAAATGGTGGGGAAATGTTTTTTTTTTTGTGAACTGTCCATTTAAAAGCCAAACTTGCATGGCTAGTGGGCTGAAGGTAAATGCAGTTGCCATGGCTAATTTCCTAATTTACATTTACATTTAGTCATTTAGCAGACGCTTTTATCCAAAGCGACTTACAAATGAGGACAAGGAAGCAATTTACACAACTAAGAGCAACAATGAATAAGTGCTATAGGCAAGTTTCAGGTCTGTAAAGTCTAAGAAGGAAAGTATTAGTAGTATTAGTATTTTTATTTTTTCTTGGGTACAGTTTGTGTAATATTCAGAGGCAATTGCAGATTAGGAAGTGAAGTGGAGACTAAATAGTTGAGTTTTTAGTCGTTTCTTGAAATTAGCGAGTTACTCTGCTGTTCTGATGCAGTTAGGGAGTTCATTCCACCAGCTGGGCAGATTGAGCATGAGCGTTCGCGAAAGTGATTTCTTCCCTCTTTGGGATGGAACCACAAGGCGACGTTCATTCACAGAACGCAAGTTTCTGGAGGGCACATAGATCTGCAGAAGTGAGAGCAGATGAGAAGGAGCAAGGCCAGAAGTCACTTTGTAGGCAAACATCAGAGCTTTGAATTTGATGCGAGCAGCAACTGGCAGCCAGTGCAAACGGACTAGCAGCGGAGTGACATGTGCTCGTTTAGGTTCATTGAAGACCACTCGTGCTGCTGCGTTCTGGAGCAGTTGAAGAGGCTTGATAGAGTTAGCTGGAAGCCCAGCTAGTAGAGAGTTGCAGTAATCCAGTTTGGAGAGAACAAGAGCTTGAACAAGGAGTTGAGCTGCATGTTCAGATAAGAAGGGTCGGATCTTTCTGATGTTATAGAGTGCGAATCTGCACGATCGAGCAGTTCTAGAAATGTGGTTAGAGAAGTTTAGTTGGTCATCAATCGTTACTCCAAGGCTTTTCACCATTTTGGATGCAGTAATGGTTGCCCCATTTTATTTAATAATATTTAAAATGACTAGAAAACATTGCTTTGTATCAACTAATACAGCAAATATTATATTTTATTATAAACTTATTACAGTAAAAACAATGTCATTTATAACAGAATTAAACTAGTTTTGCCTTGATTTGCTACCTAATGTCTTCTGCATAGTCCTCTATCCATTGAGTGACATTATTTACTGTACATTTACAAAAATCTGATTCATTTACATAAATTGAAACAAATTTCTGGCAAAGCTTTTTTATAGCTCAACAATAAAACAAACAAGCAAAAAAACTTTACATCATATTAGAAATAACATTCGCCTTCGCCCAAACCTCTCCATCATTCTCACTCTCCTTACCGGTGGTGGGCCAAATCAAAAGTTACAATGGGCCAACTTTGGCCTGCGGGCACTACTTTGGGCATCTCTGATTTAAAGGGATAGTTCACTCAAAAACACAAATTTACAGACACTCAAGGGGGTTTCAGCCACTTAATATATTAGCTTCTTTATTCTGTTGAGCACTAAAGAACATATTTTGATGAAAAAAGCTGAAAACCTGTAACCATTGACTTCCATAGCAGGATAAACCAATACTATGGAAGTCAATGGTTACAGTTTTACAACATTTTTCAAAATATCTTCTTTTTGTGATTAACAGAAGAAAGACAAACAAGTAAATGGTGAGCTAATTATGACATAATTTTCAGTTTTTGGTGAACTATCCCTTAATCACTTGTTTTTAACCGCTTGTCATGAAACTTTAACATCTTGCAGGTGTTTTCCTCCACGCCTGATGCTGTCCAGTGCTCTACGCTGCCTGCGTCCCATCTCCAGCACCCTTGTCTTATCCAGACCTCTCGCTCACCACATGGACCCAAGTGTTCCCCGTCCCGTAGAGACCACCATACGCACCAAACTGAGCAAGGCCCTCAATCCTGAGCACCTGGAGGTCATAAATGAGAGCCACATGCACGCCGTTCCCCCTGGATCAGAGTCCCACTTCAAAGTTCTGGTGGTGAGTCCTCAGTTCGAAGGTCTTTCCTTGTTACAGCGTCACCGGCTGGTAAACGAGACCCTGAAGGAGGAGCTCAGTACCTGCATCCATGCGCTCTCTATCCAGGCCAAGACGCCTCAGCAGTGGAGCAGCAACCCCAGCCTGGCAAAAAGCCCTCCATGCATGGGGGGATCCAGACATGATCACACTATGGCAGAGAAACTAAAGGCGGGTAGAGACTGACTGACATTACAGAAACAAAAACTGGGTAATATTAGATATTCAGTCGGATAAATGCACTGTAACAAAATGATCAGTTGACTTTTCTTAAAATAAGTGAGTAAACCTGTTGCCTTATCATTTAAGTACATTAACTGTGTGCATAAATATAAACATTTAAGTTAAATCAACTTAAAAGGTTACAAGTTATGATTGGTTTACTCGCTTTAAGTAAATAATCACTTTTTACAGTGTAGGTTTGGTGCATTGGCTTTGTGCGAATCTCTCATCTGGAGCTAATTAAGTACAATATGCAATATTTAAATGACTTTGATGCAAATAATAAATGCTAATTTGTTTGTGTTGACTTGGACTTTTCTGTATTTTCTAACCTGATTATTGATTAATTTACAGTTGTTGTTGTAGTTGTTGTTTTAGGGGGTTTCAGATTCGCACTAAAGTGTTAAACCTCTTTTAATTATTAATTAAGAAATATTCTAAGCTTTAATAAACCATTTAATTGGCAAGTCATTAGTAGGCCCACACGGAATATGCACGTGCAGAATTACGCAGATTTCCGCAGATTTTTAGCCCATCATCAGTTCTGTTTATTTACTTGAGTAAATATGTGTTAATCTATATTTATTCAGTTTTTAAATTAATTTCAGTGATATTATTGACTATTATGAAAATGTTTATCTGATTTCTGTACAATGCAGATGTACAGTATAATTTTCTGTCTTTTAGTAGAGATATGATATGAGAGACTTGCTTTGTTTACCAAATAAAGTGAATCTAATTGGATTTGCATTTTAAACATTAAATAAAAGTTAAAAAGATATTACTTTTTATTTCACGTATTAAGGTTTTAGTTATGATACTCCCAAAACAATACCGCAGCAATCCAAATCCAGATTTTTACAAAAATTCTCTGCAGAAATAGCAAAAAATGTCTGCAGATTCTGTCTGGCCCTAGTCATTAGTTTAATTTCAGTTATTGAAATGATTAGATAATACAGCACACTATTTTTGGAGTATTTAATTTAATTAACAGGGTCTCTGCGGGGCCTTAAAAATACTTTAAAATGTCTTAAATTCCTAAAACAAAATTTTAGGCCTTAAAAAGTCCTAAATGTACCTGCATATTGTGTTGTAGCTCTTAAATAATTTAAAACAGGTTCCCATGTCTATGAAAAGCTACTCATTCATGCCCAAATCATCCAATCACCAGCATTCCATCTCAATAGAACTTTTACCAAATGGTTACATTTTTAACTCGGTTTACCAATATAGTTTAATTATTTTCCTTACAATAACATTTGTTTAAGAGTCATTTATTTAAGGTGAGGACACTGACCTAGAGAGACCTTTATTGCATATATTTCGATTGTATTTTTTTAAATAAAATGTTATGTTGAAAAAAAAAAAGTGCATCTATGAAATCAGAGTTTGCTTGTTTTGATACATTTTAAATATATGACAAAAAAATTAAGTAAATTAACTAAATTAGAATTTCTTTCATAAGAAAAGGAAAAATCTTTTCCTTTTCCATTAGAAAAAAACCCTTGAAGTGTTTATCCCTGTATAAGTCTTAAATTTCATTGATAATGGTCTTACATTTGACTTGCAGAAACCCTGAATTAAATTTCATTTTATAGGCTTTTGTACTCACCAAGGCTGCATTAATTTAATCCAAAATACGTAAATATTTTGAATGTAAGTGCTATTGGAAATATTTTTTCTTTACTAATTTGCTAATTTGCTGCTCAAGTAACATTCTTTACTACTACTATTATTATTATTATTATTATTATTATTATTATTATTATTATCATCATCATCATCAATGAGATGAAAATACAAAATAAAAAAATTAATAGCAAACCAGGTGAATCCAGCATGTCTGTGCAAGAAGATCAACTACTGTAGATTGCAAATGATGGTGGCCTTGCTCGCATATTGCATCTTTTCCACTCGCAAGTTATTTATTTCCAATGGAGGCGTGTGGTTTGTGTGCGCATATTGGGAGTGAAATGCTCACGTTTTCCAAGCGCACACAGTTGAAAACATCTCAACTTTTCAGGATGCTGCAAGTCACGTGACAAGTCACAACCGTTGTACTCTATATGTGCACAGCCTTCATGAAAATAGAAAAAAATAATTTGTTTTCTAATGTTGTGGTCATTTAGGAAAAGAGCCACCAAACGTTTGCATTTAAATATTTATTTATTTTCTACTGTTAAAATTGTGCCCAAGTTATTTTTGTCCCAGAAGTCAAAACAAGGGTTAAACAGTTACAAAAAATAAAACAAAACTCTGAGATCAAGAGTTGGGGAAGGGGTTTTCTGAATTCAACCTTTAAGTTTCTCCAAAGTTCGAGCTCATAGTCTGATGGTGTCCTCTCTTGCACTGTGGATATTTCCAGATATACAATGTTCATAAAAGTGAGAATCCAATAAATGGAGGCTTCCACATTATCACAATATTTTTGTGTGTGGATGCTATCTTGCCTGCTCCTCTGGTTTCTAAAATTTGAGTATAAGCTCAGTGTTTGACAGAAAGTGTGCCAGCAGAGGGCGATATCACACCAGAGAGCAGCAGATACATGCATATAACATGATCTCCTCACAGCAGTCGGTGCTTCTTCACTTCAAAATCACTTCTGCTTATGTAATTAAATATAAGCAGAGGTAATTTCTGGTAAAACAAGTTTGATCTCTCTCAGACACCTGCAGAAATGGACCTGGCATCTATATGGGTTGGTTTAACTGAATCACATCTGCAAGTTTTTTTTTTTTTTCCTCAGCTAAGCATGTTTAAAATGATTTATTAAAGCAACAAATATAAATGTAGTCTTCAGATTTTTTGTGTCAACGTTCAAAAATCAAATAATTAAGACAAATATCAACAGATTATGGAGATGAAAATACTTTGCACTGTATACGAACTAAACATATCTGTAGTAGAAACACAGAGACGATTCTGTCCTCTAATGCATTTGGTTCCACTTCCCCCTCGTGCCCCCAAAAATATTTTCTAAATCTTTTTATTAGTACACAAAATTTTGCGTATGTTTTAAGATTATATAATTATTATACACTAATTAATCACATGTTATAATTACACTATTATTATTATTATTATTATTTCAATATATTTTTCGTAATTTATTAGAAAAAAGACATGGAAGCATAGAGCATATTTCTGTTATTTCCAATATCTGTGACTTTAGTGTTAGTGCTTTTCTGTATATTCATTCATTCATTTTCCTTTGGCTTAGTTCCTTTATTCATCAGAGGAATGAACGGCCAACTTATCCAGCATGTGTTTTACACAGCAGATGCCCTTTCAGCTGCAACCCAGTACTGGGAAACATTCATACACACTCATTCACACACACTATGGCCAGTTTAGTTTATTTAATTCACCTATAGCGCATGTCTTTGGACTGAAAAACCGGAGCACCCGGAGAAAACCCACGCCAACACGGAGAACATGCTCTCCACACAGAAATGCCAACTGACCCAGCTGGGACTCGAACCAGCAACCTTCTTGCTGTGAGGCGACAGTGCGATTCACTGAGCCACGTGTCACCCCCAATTCTATATATTACGTCCTCTAAATCTAACATGTATTTGAATGACTAGTTTATCTATTTAATTGATATTAACTAGATCTAATTGGTTTTTAAAATATACTGTTTTGATGTTTATTGAAATTAGTGTTGGGTAAAACATTAATTGCGATTAACTGCATATAAAATAAAAATTTGTTTTCTCATAATTGAAGTGTGTTTACTTTGTATATTATGTATATACACTAACTGGCCACTTTATTATTTCACCTGTCCAACTGCTTGTTAATGCAAATTTCTAATCAGCCAATCACATGACAGCAACCCAATGCATTTAGACATGTAGACATGGTCAAGACGATCTGCTGCAGTTCAAACCGAGCATCAGAATGGGGAAGAAAGGTGATTTAATTCACATTGAATGTGGCATGGTTGTTGGTGTCAGACGGGCTGGTCTGAGTATTTGAGAAACTGCTGATCTACTCGGATTTTCACACACAAACATCTCTAGGGTTTACAGAGAATGGTCTAAAAAAGAGAAAATATCCAGTGAGTGGCAGTTCTGTGGGCACAAATGCCTTGTTGATGCAAGAGTTTAAAGGAGAATGGCCAGACTGAATCCAGCTGATAGAAAGGCAACAGTAACTCAAATAACCACTCGCTAACCAAGGTATGCAGAAGAGCATCTCTGAACACATACCGCATCAAACTTTGAGGCAGATGGGCTACAGCAGCAGAAGACCACACCAGGTGCCACTCCTGTCAGCTAAGAACAAAAACTGAGGCTACAATTAGCACAGGCTCACCAAAATTGAACAATAGAACATTGGAAAAACGTTGCCTGGTCTGATGAGTCTCCATTTCTGCTGCGACATTCACATGGTAGGTTCAGAATTTGATTTCAACAACATGAAAGCATGGATCCATCCTACCTTGTATCATCGCTTCAGGCTGCTGGTGGTGGTGTAATGGTGTGGGGGATATTTTCTTGGCACACTTTGGGCCCATTAGTACCAATTGAGCATTGTGTCAATGCCACAGCCTACCTGAGTATTGTTGCTGACCATGTCCGTCCCGTTATGACCACAGTGTACCCATCTTCAGATGGCTACTTCCAGCAGTATAACCCGCCATGTCATAAAGTGTGAATCATCTCAGACTAGTTTCATGAACATGACAATGAATTCACTGTACTGAAATGGCCTCCACAGTCACCAGGTCTCAATCCAATAGAGCAACTTTGGGACGTGGAGGAACAGGAGATTTGCATCATAGATGTGCAGCCGACAACTCTGCTGCAACTGCGGGATGATATCATGTCAATATGGACCACAATCTTTAAGGAATATTTCCAGTACCTTGTTGAATCTATGTCATCAGTTCTGAAGGCAAAAGGGGGTCCAACCCGATACTAGGAATGTGTACCTAATAAAGTGGCCGGTAAGTGTATAAATGCACATCGATATGTATATTTGAGAAAATAGTTATTTATAATCAGATATAAAATGTATAATATAAATTTAAATATTTATGTAAAGAAGTTGTTTTGTATAGTTTTATTTTTTATTACATAAACATAATAAATGTATAACACACATATATTCTATAAACCAAATTTTTATTTTGGAATTTAGATGTGCTTAATCATGATTAATCTTTGCCCAGCAGGCCAGCACTAATTATAATACATTTTAAACAATCATATGAACAAACAACAGTTGTCATTATTTAAATAATATATTATAATATAGGCGATGCAGCGGCGCAGTAGGTAGTGCTGTCGCCTCACAGCAAGAAGGTCGCTGGTTCGAGCTCGGCTGGGTCAGTTGGCATTTCTGTGTGGAGTTTGTATGTTCTCCCTTGCATTCGCGCGGGTTTCCTCCGGGTGCTCCAGTTTCTCCCACAGTCCAAAAACATGTGGTACAGGTGTATTGGGAAGACTAAAATTATCCGTTGTGTATGAGTGTGTATGGATGTTTCCCAGCTGGAAGGGCGTATAAAACATATGCTGGATAAGTTGGCGGTTCATTCTGCTGTGGCGACCCCGGAATAATAAAGAAACTAAGCCGATAAAAAAAATAATTAATGAATAATATAATATAAACAATAAAAATAGAGGTAAATGCAGTAATTACAAAGTTAAAATACAGTAACATTAAAAAGACATGGGCTTATTTTGGTTTTACTCTTTAATAGGAAGTCATTTATCAGACACATTATGGTTTTGTTGTATGGTATTATAGTTATAAAAAATAACGTATGTACAGTTTTGAATGCATTGTTAGGGTTAATATGTTTATCAGCATAATTTATCTCCAGTATAAATCTGCTAACCAAATCAAATTGTGCTGCTTGTCTTTTCTTGAATCAACACACCCGGCAATTGTTCGCTATATATAATTTAGCACATAACTTATCCCTCTTTGTTGGATAAGTCAACATAATTTATGGCATTGCTCTCTAGAAAATACAAGTTGGTCACTTACAACAATTTATGATCGGATGTATTTATATGATATCCATTAAACTGTACAATCAACTTTTTGGGGTAAATTTATTTGACAAGTACAGTCACCTGGACATCATAGCAAAAATAGTAATACTAATAATTGGCTAACCGTGCTGCTTTTGCTCGCAAGAGATTAGGAGAATGTTGTTATTAACATGCATGAAGCAACATCTAGATAGTATGTGTAGTCTATATTTAATTAAAGATATTGCACTCAATTAAAAATCACAGATGATTATATATTTTTTTAAGAAATCCTAATCGTAGTCTAAACAAAGCTGCATTTATTGAGCAAAAATACAGAATAATATTAATATAGAGCAATTCCATGTAAATGTCACCCTTGCCATGAAAAACAAATTAGGTTTTCACCAAACTACGGAAACCGTTTCTAAGTTTTTATGTTTTAGATGTTTCCCAGTACTGGGTTGTGGCTGAAAGGGCAACCGCTGTGTAAAACATATGCTGGAATAGTTGGCGGTTCATTCCGTTGTGGCGACCGGCTGATTAATAAAGGGACTAAGCCGAAGGAAAATGAAGAATAAGTTTTGTACATTTGGGAATATTCGGTTTTAACAACATAAAAAGTTTAGAAATTTTTCCCAAAAATGTTCGAGCATAAGATAATTTCATAAACAACGATACAGAGTTCCTATTTCTTAGGGATAACTCTTATCTATGCATTTTACGCATGTATTGTTTATTCATTTATTAAAATAAAATAAACACAACATACAGTTGAAGTCAAAATTATTAGTCCAAAATTATTATTTTTTTAAACATTTCCCAAATGATGTTTAACAAAGCAAGGAAATTTTCACAGTATGTCTGATGATATTTTTTCTTCGGGAGAAAGTCTTATTTGTTTTATTTCGGCTATAAAAAAAGTGGCTTTCAAGGTCAGTATTATTAGCCCCTTTAAGCTATAAATTTTTTTGATAGTCTACAGAACAAATCATCGCTATACAATAACTTGCCTAATTACCCTAACCTGCCTAGTGGACCCAATTAACCTAGTTAAGCCTTTAAATGTTACTTTAAGCTGAATAGAAGTGTCTTAAAAAATATCTAATCAAATATCATTTACAGTCATCATGGCAAAGATAAAATAAATCAGTTATTAGAGATGAGTTATTAAAACTATTATGATTAGAAATTTGTTAAACAAATCTTCACTCTGTTAAACAGAAATTGGGGGAAAAAAATAAACAGGGAGGCTGATAATTCTTACTTAAACTGTATATATGGATTGCTTTACGGATTTGCATGTCATCCTATCGCAGAAACTAATCTTCTCTGTATTGGTCCAATTTTAGTATATGTGCTGCCGTAGCGAACACCATTTTTCAAACAAAAAGAATCACATATTCTTGTAAAATAGGCTTCATTATTATATTATTTGCTACTAAATAGTTAATACATAATGCATCAACTAACATGAACTAATGAGTGCTTATATAACTCGTACTCGGGTCCGCATATTAAAGTCGATAAATTCTTAAATCGCTCTTATAATTTTAGTTAAGCCTTTTAATGTCACTTTAAGCTGTATAGAAGTGTCTTGAAGAATATCTAGTCAAATATTATTTACTGTCATCATGACAAAGATAAAATAAATCAGTTATTAGAGATGAGCTATTAAAACTACCATGATTAGAAATGTGCTGAAAAAATCTTCTCTTTTTTTAAACAGAAAACGGGGGATAAAAGAACAGGGGGGCTAATAATTCTGACTTTAACTGTAATTATTTTTTCTTAAACTATACTTTTATTTTATTTTTAAATTTATTTATTTAATATTCTATCCATCCAGTTCACCTATTTATTAATGCAATATCCTCCAGGCAGTTATTAGGTTAAATCACCTGGACAAGTAACAACATCGCTGCATGATTTGAGAAATCATTCGTGCACCTTTGTATGTTTTTTTGCTTTTTCCAGTGTTATTGTATTATTCACATTATGTCTTCCTGACCCTGATTGGTCTCTGCCTGTTTCAGTGGACAGATCCATGCTTCATCAATGGCGTCTGGAGTCAAAGGAAGGTAAAGACCATTTCTTTCCCTCCTGAGTTCCTCCAAGCGGAACAGATGACTCAAAGCCAGTGAGGATTCAGAACAACTGGTGTCGTCGTTTGGCTGGAAAAACAGCAACAGCACCGTTTTATGGCTCCGTCCATTAGAGCGAACCCTGAGGTGATCCCACACAGGTCAAACCAAAGTGTGTTTAACGTTCAACCGCCTCGGGAGCGCACAGACAATCCTTAAAGTGTGATTTGTGTGCTGAAGTTCCAGGTGCGGCGATGCCTGAAATGTGCATGATTGTGATGCAAGCCAGAACAGGACGGATTATAACACAGGTGGCGTTATATGGCCCGATGTTTTCCATCCTCAGGATGGTAGGGGTGGGCCATACTGCAACATTTGGTATTGATTTGATACCAAGTAGATACAGTTGAAGTCAAAATTATAAGAATTAATTATTATAAAAAAAAAAATTCTAATATTTCCTTAATGATATTAAACAGAGCAAGAAATTTTTTCCCAGTATTTACGATAATATTTTTTCTTCTGGAGAAAGTCTTATTTGTTTTATTTCAGCTAGAAAAAAATCTGTTTAAAATTTTTTAAACACCATTTTATGGTCAATATTGTTCGCCCTTTAAAGGTGCTGTATGTACGTTTTCGACTCTTCTAAAGCATCAAACTACTATAACATGTTTGCAGATATTTAAGAAACATGCCAAGTGAACACTCTTGTTTATCTGAAAAACAATGCTGAAGTCAGATATTCTGCTTTGAAATGTGTGTTATGTGCTGGAAAGCTGTCCTTGTTTTTTTTTTTTTAACCCACCCAATGCCAGTTTAGCCAGTTATATTTCAGCACCCCGGGTTGCCTTGGTGGAAAACTGTGTATTTGACCCATTCAGTCATGAAGCATGCATCCATGACCAAAATGAGACCTCAGGTGGACATAAGCAGACTCCGAAATAAGACACAGATTTAGAGTTCCACATGAGGTTAATAATTAGCAAATAATATAAATATTACGAACGTAATGATTAGGTGAGCAGGTTACATTGTAAAATAAGTTGAAGCATGATTAAATATTTTTTACAGAATACACTTGTGTACCTAAAGGATCCATACTGTTAGCTTAGTTATAAGCTGGGTTTTCATCACCCTGTGCTAACCCATTAAGAGGCATTATAAACATCTGGTTGACCATTTAACATAGGTTATCATTATTTTAATTGCTATTACTATTTAGTTGCGTCAGTGTATTATTCAATACTTTCAAGGTGTGCACCTTAAAGGGTTAATGCTCATTTTGAACTATCACATGAGAAATGAGTGATGGAAATGCCAAAATTACAATAAAAATGCCTTATTCGAAAAAGGAAGAAGAAGAAAAAAGTTTTCCGCTTGCTTGAGGTGGTTTTGGACTTGTGTGAAACAGGGTTATAGTGCCAACAAGGGGAGATAGAAATGCATTTGCTAAATAAACTCTGGCGTAGCGTACATTACATCGCGACTCTTTATTCTTTTCATTGTTTATTTTAAAAATAAATCTTGCTGGTGTAAATTTAGATGAATCAGCAGATCTTTTATAGTCATCTTAACTTACATCAGTCAAACTGAGTAAAAACATTAGGTTAAATGTTGTATAACTTAAAAAAAATTGTATTTGAAACAACTAATTCTGACTTTATTTCCATATTCTTTTTAGTGTATAGGTTCCCAATACTTCACTCAGCCATCTTTTAACTTGACAGAAATGTACAGTTGAAACCAGAAGTTTAAATATACTGTATAAAAAATGGACATAACCATTAAAAGAAGGTCAGATGTTAATGTGAATAAACTTTTCTCTTTTAGGTAAGTTAGTATTATCACATTTGTTTCTGCTATGCTTAATAGCACAATAACGAGAGAGATATTTGTTGAGAAATTTATAACTTTTCTTGAAAGTCAAGTTTACATACAATAAGATTATTCTGCCTCTGAAAAAGCTCAGATGATGATGTCAAGGTTTTGGAAGATTCTGATTGGCTAATTGCCAACATTTGAGTTAATTGGAGGCACAACTGTAGAATAGTATTTAAGGAAAACCTCAAACACACTGCTTCCTTCTGTGACAACATGTGGAAATCAACAAGCCAGAATCAAGAAAAAAAGCCAGATTACAGTTTGCTAAATTACACTGGGAAAAGAATAATTGTTGGAGACATGTCCTGTGGTCTGATGGAACTAAGATTAAACTGTTTGGCCATAATGACCAGTGTTACATTTGGAGGACAAAGGGGAAAGCTTACAAGCCTAGGAACACCATCCCAACTGTGAAGTATGGGGGCGGCAGCATCATGTTGTGAGGCTGTTTTGCTGCAGGAGGGACTGGTCCTCTTCACAGCATATGGTATCATGAAGTAAGAAGATTATGTAGAAATACATCTCAATGTATTAGAATTATGTAGAAGCAACATCTCAAGCCAGCCAGGAAATTAAAACTTGGCCACAAATGAGTCTTCAAAACGGACCATGACCCTAAGCATACTGCCAAATTAGTTAAAATGTGCTTTAAGGACAACAGAGTGAATGTTTTGGAGTGGCCATCACAAAGCCCTGATCTCAATCCTATAGAAAATTTGTGGGCAGAGTAGAAAAAGCTTGTGCGAGCAAGACAGCCTACAAATCTGACACAGTTACACCAATTCTGTGAGGAGGAATGGGCCAAAATTCCTTCAAACTATTGTGAGAAGCTTGTGGAAGGATACCCAAAACATTTGACCAAAGTTACACAGTTAAAAAGCAAAGCTAAAAAAAAAACCAAGGAAATGAATGTAAAGTTTGACTGTCTAGAAATAATTAAAAAATTCTCAATTTTTTTTCTCATTATTCTGGCATTTAGCAAATTAGGTCTGTTAGGTAATCCTAACAGACCTAAAATAGTAAATGTCTAGTATGATTTACCATCAGACATTTTAAAAAATGGTTATGTTCCTTTTTTAGAGTGTATGTAAACTTCTGGTTTCAACTCTACCTAATTGACAATTGTCTGTGTTTTTTTACTTTGGAAAAAAAAATGCTTTCGGATAGTATACTGTACATGAATAAATTATGGTAGTTTACTGTAAAATAAAATTATATATATATATATATATATATATATATATATATATATATATATATATAAATAAGATGTACAAATTTTTCTAATGGTTTACAGCATATTTTTTATAGTAAAATTCTGACATTCACAGCTGCAATGAAATTTTACAGATGATATGTGAAAAGTCTTCACTTGAATGAAACGGGAACAATGTACAGTAGTGTAGATACACAGAACTTTAAATGATCAATCCGATACTGATACCAATCTATAAGGATGGACCTGCTCACTGGTACAGGCCGTCCCAGAGCTGATGTATCCCGATGAGGGTCATGATGTCTGCCAGGGTGGCGTGGTTCACTGGGAAAGGGTCTGGTAGTGCGTCAGAGCCAGGAGAGTGATGGTGCCAGGCCTGGCTGGGATTCGGGATGGTGCGTCGTTCCCGCCAGCATTTGATTTACAGGCTTGTGCTGGATCTGGGCTCCCTGACACCGCTGACCTCTCTAGGTTGAGGGTCAATAGGTTAGAGATGGGAGCACCAAATGGTCGTCTGAAAAAGCTCCTATAGGGAGCGGCGTCTCTGTGGAATAGTCGTCTGCACCGTTCCTCCGTCTGACACACTGTTTGTGTACTGCGGGGGGTGACATGCTCACCATTTGCTGGGAAAACTTGCTGTAGTCCATGGCTCTCAAAGATATTGTTCGCTCAAAAATGAACTCTCACTTGACAATTAAATCCTCTGCAGTTCTGTATTTGGTGAGACTGAAGAAAAAGGACAAAACGAGTGTTTATTAGTCTTTTCCACAAATAAACGAACAGATCATTACAAAATTGAAAATTAAGTCATTTGCTTTACCACAAGTACCTCGACTTCATAGTACATACTTTGTATGTCAGCGGCAACCAACCCATGTAGATATATGGCAATATATGCAAATCACATATTTAACATATAAGGTAATGTTTGGATTTACATATATTAAAATATATGTCTATACATGCGATCTAAATTTTAAAATATTGCAAGCATGGCCATTTGTACAGTTGAAGTCAGAGTTATTGAATTATTGAATTTGTTTTTTTTTTTGTCTAAGATTTTGCAAGGGGTTTTAATAATTTCGGGCTTGACTGGTTGTATATAAATGTATGTATGTATGTATGCATATATATATATATATATATATATATATATATATATATATATATATATATATATATATATATATATATATATATATAATTTACTATTAAAATTACAAGTATGTATATGTTCATATGTGGCCATATATCAGATTTCCATGCGGGAATTTCCAACATTTTTCAAAATGTCTTCTTTAGTGTTCAGTAGAAAAAAGAGGGTTAGTGCATTTTTATTTTGGGTGTGAAAGTAATTAAAATTTTTAGAATGTAAATGTAAATAAATTTAAATAATGTCAATTAAAATTTTTTTAATGTTAATTACTATTCAAAACCCTGATTTTTAGACTCTTTTGCTCATCAAAGCTGCTTTTATTTATTTGAAAATATAGAAGAATAAAATATTAGAGAAAAAATAACAATTTCTTTTTTAATATTTGTAAAAGTGTCTATTTCTTTAATTTAAAGATGATTTTTTAGCATTTTTATTCCAGTCTACCTTCAAGCATGGCTGTAATATGCAGTTTTTCCACTCAAAAACAACAAAAAAGTCAAAATAAAAAAAAAATGTATATTTAAATATATTTAATTATGATTACAAATATGCTAAATAAATTAAGGGCGACACGGTGACTCAGTAGGTAACACTGTCCTCTCACTGCAAGAAGGTCGCTGGTTTGAGTCCCGGCTGGGTCAGTTGGCATTTCTGTGTGGAGTTTGCATGTTCTCTCAATGTTGGCGTGAGTTTCCTCTGGGTTTACTGGTTCCCCCCACAGTCCAAAGACATGTACTATAGGTAAATTGAATAAGCTAAATTGTCCGTAGCGTATGTGTGTGAAGGCAAGAGTTTGCATTGTCTGCATAGAACATATGCTGGATAAGTTGGAGGTTCATTCCGCTGTGGCGACCCATGATTAATAAAAGGACTATGCCAAAAAGAAAAAAAATGAATTAATAATTTCAGAAATTTAAGTAAATCTAAATTTTTATGTAAATTATTATTTTAAACCCTGAACTTTAGACTCATTTGCTCATCAACACTGCTTTTATTTGTTTGAAAATATAGAAGATTAAAATATTAGATGTTGTGAAATATTATTACATTAAAAAAAACTGTTTCAATAATTGTAAAAGTGTCATTATTTCTTTAATTCAAAGATAAATTTTCAGCATTTTTACTCCAGTTCTTAAACATTGTTATAATATGCAGTTTTTCCAACTCAAAACAGTAAAAAACACATATGTAAATATTAAACTTCAACTATTATAATTTCAAATGTGCTAAATATATCAAGGGCGACATGCTCGCACATTGGTGAGCACTGTCGCCTCACAGGAAAAAGGTCGCTGTTCTGAGTTCCAGCTGGGCCATTTGGTATTTCTTTGTGGCATTTGCATGTTCTGCCCGTGTTTGTGTTGGTTTCCTCCGGGTGCTCCGGTTTCCTCCACAGTTCAAAGACATGTGCTATAGGTGAACTGAATAAATTAAATTGACCGTAGTGTATGTGTGTCAATGTGAGAGTGTATTGGTGTTTCCCAGTACTGGGTTGCATTTGGAAGCACATACGCTGCATAAAATATATGCTTGAAATAGAGAATTAGCCGAAGGAAAGTTAATGAATAATGCTTTTTATACTAGTGAAAAATCTCAGTGAATATATTTTTATTTGTGTTGTTTGTGTTGGTTGGATGGTTAAATCCCTCAGAGTATTAACAAATCTCTCAATGATTTCAGATTTGAGCCATTCATTTTTTTAATTTTTAGAGCTGGACTCTTTCAATCATCATCCGCTTCCTCAAGTTTGTGTTTCACAGAAGACCCCTAGCTGCACCAACATAAGGGTGAGTAAACAATGACACTTTTTTTCATTCAATTATTCCATAAGACTTCATTTTGATGGTCCCTATTGCACATTTTGTTGACATTGCAACTACATGCCAATTTATTCTCATTTGAGTATTAGTACACTGTCTGCTTAAAGGGCACATAGTTTACCCCTTTTTTAGATTAAATATTAATATTATGGTTCTTCTGTGTGTGCCAGTTTAGGTTCAGTTCAGTTATTTATTATTATAACGTGTTAAAAAGTGTCATGTTGGGGGCATGTACACAGCTTTTTAGGGGTGTGTTGTTTTACCTGAAAATTAGTTTCAACTGCCCGCCCAACGTAACAAGAGGGCGGAACCAAGAAGCAACAGACAGGCAGACAGAGAGAAGCAGCGTGAGTGAGAGGTCCAGCATTCAGCCGTACATGTACGCCTCGGACACAGACCAAGCAGAGAGTACAAAATCATTTGTGTCTTTGTATAGTTTTACATCCAACTGTTTGCTAGTTTGAAGTTCCGAGCTTGTACACCGAGATAACCACGCACACTGGATTAACTTTGACTGAGGTACCGGATGCGCAGCTCAGAGCCGCACACGGCACACCAGACACACACATTAACATGTCATTTAAAATTAAAACTATTCAGATGGTGCTCTGTGGCGCGGCAGAAATATGAGGGGTCCCGAATCGTGGCTGTGCGCTGCGGACAGCCGCCGATTTCAAGCGTTGTTGTGTGTACCCAGTGTAAACTTGCATGCAGGTCGCACACCAGAAGCCCCGCTCGGCGTCGCACCACGAATCGACATGCATTTTAGAATTCTACACATAGGTTTCTATCAGGATATACACAACGGCGCTTCAAGTCGCCGGCTGTCGGAAGTGCTGTTGTGTGTACCCTGATAGAAACCTATGTGTAGAATTCCGAAATGCATGGCACGACGCTGCGCATCGCTGAGCTTCTGATGTGCGACCTGCAGGCAAGTTGTTTGAGGGCCATGCACGTGAGGCAACTTGCTCGCACTTTCCAGCTGCACCTATAGTTAAGATCAAAGTGAGGTTCAGTGATCGTGAGAAATGCAAACAGCTGAAATTTAAGGTAAGACGCAATGAAAAGTACACATGTTTGCAAACCTACCAAAAGTTACAAACAATAATTCTGATTAGAGCGATCATGTGGTGAATGCTGATCTTGTGTTAAGCCCAATGAGCCTTACATCTAAAAACAGCGCAAGGGTGTTCCTTTAGTGACATCACTTTGACTCGCACTGAAAATGGCGGACGTGAAACAACAAACTGAGGATATGGTGATACGCGCCTGTTAATCAATATTGGTGGGCGGGAGATCCGCACTCCTACGTCAAGTTGCGGTCGATCTTAAACAGAAATTTAACTGACAAAAAGAAACTTTGCTAGTACATGTCAACTTGCACTAACCCTAACCACAACCCCTACCTAACAGTCTACTTATAATCTAAGATGCAATGCAACTTAAAGGGCCATGAAACCCCCTCGTTTCAGCAGGGTGTTTTCACACCTCTACTTTGGAAAAAGTCAGAAAAGTGGGCGTGTCCAGCTCTGTTTAGGGGGAGTGTCGGAGGAAGAAAAGCGGCTTGGTATGGGAGTGTCTATTTGGGCGCGCTGAATTTCAGAGTCAAAACACACACCCACAGCGGACAATGTGACTGTGTTTACATGGACATCTGTAACGTTAGTCGAATTATTTGCCAAATTATTAAATGGTGGACTTTAACTGCAGTTTGGCTCTTTCATTCAGGGAATTCATTCATGTCCCTCCCGACAAACGCGATATTTAATTCAAGGCGCTGCTCTAAGTGTGTATTTTTCATGCAATGTTTGATACCGCACGGCGAATGAGAGAAAAAAAAACTCAGCATTTCCCGGAAACTTAGATGCACACGGCAGGTAGCGTCAGAAAGCCGCGTGTGTTATTCCGGTCACAAAATCCAACACGAGGTTATAGTTTGGTTGTAACTGTTAGTGCTAACTATTGCACTCGGTGCAATAGTTTGTTTGATACGAATAAAATTCGAACTGAATAAACAAAGAGCACTGGTTGCTCACTTACCAAATCTGTAGAGACAGGACAATCACCAGCAACTAGAGCCGCGTCTTTATTTAGAGGAGACTACAAGCGAATCTGGATCTCAGCGTTTGCAGATGAGAACAGCTCTCAGGTAAACAATGTTCCTCCTTAGACACGTAAGTTATTGTTGTCGCGGGTCGCGTACACTGTTAATCCACGCGTGAGTCTGCGCTCGCACAGAGAGAAAATGAAAACGAAACTTAACTGCAGCAAACTATAAAAGCAACACTTCACACTTGTTTTGCCAACACAACGTGGCGTCTTTGCCGTCTACATTCTGACAGTAATGAATATTAATGAAGTTGCACAATAGAGCGCGCTGATTGGTTTGAACCAAGCCTTACTCATGCATTAATGCATCACACTGTAAGACGTAATAAGACTCACTCTGGCTCAGACGCCCAGTCTGCATGCTGGAATACACGCTATTATGTCATGACCGTGACGCAGCTTCAAAAATTAGTTTCAAACCGGAAGTACGAATTTGCTTGAAATAACGCAAAAACAACCAATTTACACTTTTTAGTGAAATATAGGTGTCCTGATAGTGTTTTTAGCAGTGTGGGACACATATACGACTGTCAACAGCTCAAAAAATGTGTTTTGGTGTTTCGTGACCCTTTAAATTCAACTAAAATACATTAAAGGGACCTTCAAAATAAAGTGATTCCAAACAATCCTTTAAAAAATGAACACATTGTCACTTTCCGACACTAATGTGCTTCTATTGCACAGCCTGGTGTAAAAACACACGAGTTTGCATTGTTTTATTTCAAACAAAGAGTTGAAACAGTGCTTTTCAGAGAGGATTGATTGTTTATCCGTTTTATTTAGAGGCAAAGCAGACAATCAGATTTAAGGTGAGAGTAATAGCTCATTAAGTCTTCTTAATTTGAAGGATTTGTTTTTTTGTCCGGCTGCTCGGCAAACGAATGAGACCAGTGAAAGAGAGGAAAGACAAAGCTGAAGCGGGGAGGACAATATCCTTGTGTGGGTGAATTAGTTACACTCGGTAGTCCAAGTATTCAAAGCAGAGAGGAGATCAGCAGGGATTAAGACAAAGTCCACACAGGTGGGCGATGGGGGTCACATGACAGGACATTACCTCGTTTGGGACATTAGCAGAGTGGGACAGGAGGATATTTGAGTGTTATTTAATGATGTGGCTCATGGTGAAACTCGACCCGAAGCATGCATAGCTAATAAAAACAACAAAAGACCTGTAAATCTGGACTAAAATGCAGTTAAAATACAATACCTGTTTTAAAATGCAGGCAAATCTACAGGAAAAGTTCATGAAAATGAGATCGTGTTTAAAATGGTTTATTATTTTCACAAATGGCAAGTAACACCTTGGATTAACATGAAATTATGTTTATATATATATATATATATATATATATATATATATATATATATATATATATATGTGTGTGTGTGTGTTTGTGTGTGTGTGTATATATATGTGTGTGTGTATATATATATATATATATATATATATATATATATATATATATATTATTTTATTTTTTAAATCATTTATTCATACAGTAATTCAGTCACTTCCTGTTGTATTTTAACATCTACAATATTATTTATTAAGCAATTTGATATAATACCATGTAATTTTCTCATGTATGAAGAATTTTTAATATCTACCATCTAATTGTATTTATTTACTCATTTATTTGGTATTTTAGCACAGTTGTATAATTGTCTTTTAATGTCTAATATAGAATTTTTATTTATTTGCATGTTTGTTTTATTATTTATTTTAATGTGAACCAAATAATTTTTTTATTTATCATTTTTTTTAACATCCACCATATAATTAACAAATTCATGAATATTTACATGCAAACAATGTAACAATATAATTTATTTATATCACATGTATGTATATACATTATTTTATTTTATACAGCAGTTCAATCCCTTCATTTTGTATTTTACCATCTACAATATTATTTACTTTTATTATTTTAATAAATATATAATTAATTAAAATTATTATTAATTTTATTATTTAGTTTTTTATTATGTATTTATAAATACCAAGTAACTCTCTTTCTTTAAGTATTTAGGAATTTTTAAGTCTACCCTTAGAATTGCATTTATTTATTCATTTATATTGTATTTTAGTACCATTTATTCAGTCATCGTGTCTTATAATATCTATTAAATGCGTCTGTCACTTATTATTTTAATAGCTACTGCATTATTCTATGTATTCATTTAATTAATTTATCTTTTAATGTCTACGCTGATACTTATTTATTAATATATGTATTTACATATCTTCTAAATAATTCAGATGTTCTGCATGATAGACCTGAGCAATCATTCATGCTTTTTATCTACAAACCCTGCAGCATGACTTCGAAGCTAGGGTTAAACATTCAATAAAATGACCTGAATTATTAAAGACAACCCAAACACAGTTGAAGTCAGAATTATTAGCCCCCCCTGTATATATTTTTCCCCCGATTTCTATTTAACGGAAAGACAGCATAATAGTATTAATAACTAATTTCTAATAACTGATTTATTTAAACTTTAACATGATGACAGTACAAAATATTTGACTAGATGTTTTTAAGATATTAACATTCAGTGACATTTAAAGGCTTTATTTGGTTAGTCAAATTAGGGTAATTAGGCAAATTATTATATCACAATGGTTTGTTCTGTAGACAGATAAAATATTGCTTAAGACGGCTGATAATACTGACCTTAAAACTGTTTTAAAACAAATAAAATCTGCTTTTATTCTAGCCCAAATAAAACAAATCAGACTTTCTTCAGAAGAAAAAATATTAACAAAAATGCTGTGAAAAATGCATTGTGCTGTTAAACATAATTTGGGAAATATTTGAAAAAAAATTCACAGGAGGGCTAATCATTTAGGC